ATGCTTGGAGAGGGGCAAACATTCCCATAACCAGTCCTTGCACCGGTTTTTCCCCAACCCCGGCAGAAGATGAGTGTAAATTCCAACTGGTTTCGAAAAACAATCAAATGTGAAAAACAGAAAGGCTATTGACGCGGTGATAAAAGGGATCCACTCAGACTCTCCTCCTTCTCTTGCAGAACAAAATGCCGACCGGAAGAACTGCTGCAGGAATAACTCCCTCCACCGGCGCCAAACCAACTAGCAGGAGCAACCATAGCCAGCAACCCAGTTACTTCCGCCGCTTTCTGCATTGCTACGATACCATCCATTCCACACAGCTACTGTAAATGTTTTGGAGGTCGAGGTCATCCGTGAGTATGCAACCAGCTAAACCAATTTAAGCAGTAAATAAAATAAGATAACTAGCATAATGATAATTCAAATACATACATATTAGTTGTGTATGAATTACATTATTAACTGTAAAACTTTTTTGTGGGGCTGACATGAAAACCTATCAGTGCTTGGATCAACAACCATCAACAAGAACTCCCTCTTTCACTCACAACCATCAACAAGAACTCTCCCTTTCATTCACTCACTCACTCACACTCACACTCACACTCACACTCACACTCACACTCACACACACACACACACACACACACACACACACACACACACACACTTTATAGAACAGTTACTTTATGGAGGTTCTCTAAGAAATAGAAGCATGATGACCACCATTGTAGCAGAGAATTCCAGATATGTTGGTGTTGTCTCCTGCTGCATGCACCCACTTTACATTTACATTTACATTTTAGTCATTTAGCAAACGCTCTTATCCAGAGCGACTTACAGTTAGTGAGTGCATACATTTTCACTTCCACACTACTTTTGATTGACAGGTAGTTCAAGTAAGACCGAACACTGCATTCTACCTATGATAAATAATTAACAATAAGCAAGTTAATAAAATAAGCATAACATTGATGGAAATTGGGAAAATGGCAAAGGAGTCAACAGACATGAATGTATCAGGGTATTATGTGCCCAAACAACAACAGCTCTTGATCTCCCTCTTGTGGAAAAAAGCGAAAGTGCGCGAACTGACGTAATTGACTGAACAGGTCTGATTTCAGAAAATCAATAAACAAATAAATACTTTTACTCTCTGTCTTACCTTTATTTGCTATCTTCCTCTCACTTGGCATCCCATCAACATGGATGGGCCTGTGTATACAAGTAGCTAGAGTCGAGAGCTGGCAAAAATGTATCCCAGTAAGATCGTTATTAGCTAACGCGTTAGCTAGCAAGCAAGTAGAGAACAGACTTTTCTTTTTTCCCACAACATTTAACAAATGGACATTATAAATACCATTTGAAAGCACGTACCAAAATTCATTAATAATTTACCCGCAAAACAATTTTACAACCAGATACAGATAGCTAGCTAACTAGTTTTAAACGTTTTAGGTGCTAGCTAGCTAGCTAGCCTTGCCAGTAGCCACTGTTTGATTGTTGTCCCCCGCGATAATACATGAATGGAAGGACGTTGTTGAAAAAGTCGCGCGCTTGGATTTTCGGTCGAGTCACATGACATAATTCTCGTCTCCTACCAAAGTGTCAACAATAGCATCTACTGCGGCTTCGCCTCTTCCTCTGGTTTCAACTATATGCCATATCAAAACACAATTTGAAATATGGTAAATATGGATGTTTCATGTAAGTATGGATGATTTTACCAGATTTTACCTTCTACATGTGCTTTGTCAACCAGAGTATCGGCCAGAGTTGGGTCAACATTTGAATTAAATGCTAGCTATGATAAAGTCTACATACCGGTAGATAAGTAACTATGTAGATGGCTGCCCTGCTCCTTTATTTCTGTTTACCTACACCTTTGACAAGAAAATATCAATGTTGAATTTGATCTCATATTTATTGTGACATGGCTATCACCGATTCATACCCATTGACTTGAAATAGCCTACAGTACCATTACGTTGTTTCCGCAAAGGTGCATTATAAGAATGAAAAACACAGGGACGCTAGTGGTTTCCCCCAAAGTTATAACCACAGATGAAAGGGAGAAGTTTGCGTTAAGTGCTGCTCAAGTCTCACCACAAGATGGCAGCAAACGTCCACGAACGATTCAGCCTGCTCTCCCCAGAACAGCTTCATAATGAGAATAAAGAGGGGGCTATCTCCTTTCTCTTTCAAACTCAACTTTATTTAGCCAGGAAAGTCACATTGATATAAATAATCTACTTTTTTTCTTACATCCATCAAAAATCTTCTTTGATCTTTTTACATACCTATGCTACTGTAGATTATTCAGTGTATGATCCTCATTACATTACTAGTACATTACTATTACATAACAATATATTACATTTGCCTTTTAAAGCCACAGTCTGTACATCTCCAGTCATTTCAACTAATTAAATATAGCCCTTGATTTAGAAGAATATGACTCGTAGCTTGTACCATAATGAGATTAGTAGTACCACTGTCTTTATTACCTCATCATAACCAATTAAAATCAAGACCTAGGCCTGTACTCCATTATTATGGTTGTGTTGTCATATGAGACAATAGATTGTGTGCTGTGTAAGATCATATCCACAGTATTATAATTGATATAACAAACGTTATGTAACTGTTTATTACTGTATGTGTGTCAAGGATCACTTGCACCTGTACACAGCCCATCTGAAATTAGCCCACCCAACTACCTCATCCCTATATTGTTATTTATTTTGCTCTTTTGCACCCCAGTATCTCTATTTGTACATAATCTCTTGCACATCTAGCATTCCAGTGTTAATACTATTGTAATTATTTTGCACTATAGCCTATTTATTGCCTTACCTCCATAACTTGCTACATTTGCACACACTGTATATATATTTTCTGTTGTATTTTTGACTTTATGTTTTTTACCCCATATGTAACTCTGTGTTGTTTTTATCGCACTGCTTTGCTTTATCTTGGCCAGGTCGCAGTTGTAAATGAGAACTTGTTCTCAACTGGCTTACCTGGTTAAATAAAGGTTAAATTAAAAATAAATTTAAAAAAGGAATACAAATAACCCAAATCAAACCCTGATTCCTTTAAAACATTTATTCAAAATTGTATTCACCAAAGACAAATCTGCCAGTCTATTTATTTCATTTTCACCACAAATGTTGCATTTACAGAAAGTGAACCACAATATCTGAAAACATAAAGGGAAAAAAAAGAAAAGAAAATCACAGTTTCTATTTGAGTTAGTTCACACATGCTGTTATTTATCACAAACGGTGTTCCTTGATTTAACTTTCCAAGGCATTGGAGTGGCATTTCAGCCATGAAAATGAATATCTTTCAACATTTAGATTAAAGAAAACATAGTCAAGTAAACAATTATCAAGTTAACTATATTCTATAGTTAATTTACACATATATTTTCATACAATCTCTCTACAAAGTCAAACAAATCTTATACAACTGCTATGTTAACAGAATTACATACTAAATAGTGAAGGATATTTCAAAGACTAATTTGTCTTAGGGCCGGTTACAAAATAGTGAATATACTGTATGGTGATAACAATGGGATTGTTGGATACATCTCATATACATTTTAACAATATTGTCAGCATCACAAATTGTATCAATCAAAATAAAGTAAAAAGAAAATTGGAGTTGGCATATTGACGGCATTAACAAAGGGGAAAACATTTATATCAATCCTCAAGTGTTGTGTATATTTTATTTAAATTACTCTTAATTTAACCCACAATAGGAAGTTGTTTGATTTTCCACAGAAGCCACTTACACTACATGGCCAAAAGTATGTGGACACTTGCTTGTCGAACACCTCATTCCAAAATCATGGCCATTAATATGGAGTTGGTCCCCCCTTTGCTGCTATGGGAAGGCTTTCCACTAGATGTTGGAACATTGCTGCGGGGACTTGCTTCCATTCAGCCACAAGAGTATTAGTGAGGTCGGGCACTGATGTTGGGCGATTAGGCCTGGCTCGCAGTCAGTGTTCCAATTCATCCCAAAGGTGTTCGATGGGGTTGAGGTCAGGGCTCTGTGCAAGCCAGTCAAGTTCTTCCACACTGATCTCAACAAACCATTTCTGTTTGGACATCGCTTTGTGCACGGGGGCATTTTCATGCTGAAACAGGAAAGGGCCTTCCCCAAACTGTTGCCACAAAGTTGGAAGGACAGAATCGTCTAGAATGTCATTGTATGCTGTACCGTTAAGATTTCCCTTCACTGGAACCATGAAAAACAGCCCCAGACCATTATTCCTCCTCCACCAAACTTTATAGTTGGCACTATGCATTCAGGCAGGTAGCGTTCTCCAGGCAGGTAGCGTTCTCCAAACCCAGATTCGTCTGTCGGACTGCCAGATGGTGACGCGTGATTCATCAATCTGGAGAACACATTTCCACTGCTCCAGAGGCCAATGACGGCGAGCTTTACACCACTCCAGCCGACGCTTGGCATTGCGCATGAAGCTCCCGACGAACAGTTCTTGTGCTGACAAACAGTTATTGTGCTGACGTTGCTTCCAGAGGCAGTTTGGAACTTGGTTTTGAGTGTTGCAACCGAGACGATTTTTACATGCTAAGCGCTTCAGCACTCGCTGGTCCCATTCTGTGAGCTTGTGTGGCCTACCACTTCGCGGCTGAGCCGTTGTTGCTCCTAGACATTTCCACTTCACAATAACAGAACTTACAGTTGACGGGGCAGCTCTAGCAGGACAGAAATTTGATGAACTCACTTGTTGGAAAGGTGGCATCCTATGATGGTGCCACACTGAAAGTCACTGAGCTCTTCAGTAAGGCCATTCTACTGCCAAATTTTGTCTATGGAAATTGCATGGGTGTATGCTCGATTTTAAACACCTGTCAGCAACGGGTGTGGCTGAAATAACCGAATCCACTCATTTGAAGGGTTGACCACATACTTTTGGCCATGTAGTGTATATTAGGGCCTAATTTTATTAGAATCAAATGAAATATGTTCTCTGTTGCATTTTGTGAAGGATATCGCTTGCCCAGTCATTCAAACATATGTTGTCCTTCCATCTTTTTACGACATTCCTTTCTGACATCAACACCCTCATCAACTTCCTCCTTACTTATACCATTATACCATGTACTTATTCTAGGCCAAGATGACTTAACTCAACACAAAAATAGCCAGAAAAACCACAAAACAGGAAGCCTATCTATCTTGTAGAGCGGCAGCAGATGTAAGCAATTTGATTGGGCCACCTCAGGGAGAGAAATAAAAATAATAATAAGTAAAAGTGACTTTATGAATGACAAAAGAACAAAGGAAAGGAAATATGGCACAGTGGCAATAACCGGAAAAATATGACAAAGAATAAAAACAAAACTGAACCAAAACGTGTGTGTGTGTGTGAGCATTGAGCTACATCTTGGTTTCAGTGCCCGGACGTTTGGCGTTCTCGTAGTCGTTTTCCTGAGAGATGAGCTGGTATGGTTTCTTCCTCTCCTCTAGCACAGCGTTCCCCATCTCCACATCCTTGGCCTGCAGCTCGTGTCGAGATAGGAACTCCACAATGCCTGCCCCAATGGAGTCGCCCAAGACATTCGTCGTGGTACGCAGCCGGTCACTACAACCCAGGAATAAGGTAAGAAGAAAAAGGTTAACCAGGGGGAGGGAGTCATATACAGTGGAAGGAGAGGAGAGACAGAGGTAGAGTGGGTGACGGGACATTCATTTAGAAAATAAAACACAATTTCCTCTGGGACGTTTGGTAATGTTAAATGAAACAGTCAACAATGGGTGAACAACTCAAAACATTCACCTATTTTCTGCTTTTGATGAAAGATAAAATAAACTCTTTAGAGTTCTCATCAAAATAATGGAGATGGGAAATAGGCCACAGTGCTATCAGCAGGGATATTTCCCATCTACTGTTAAAGAGTAGTCAGAACACTCCCTATAGGCTATCTCATATTCTAATCACTGTGAGAAACATCCATGTTTTCATTAAATGAAGCTTTGACTCTGTCTGCACATTCCGTCCATCCTAGTTTAAGGAGAGTGGGATTTTTTATCACTACCCAATTAGCTGTGTAATTTCTGTGAAGGGGATTCTAATTGAAATGATTAATTTGGGCAACCTAATTACGTTTCTATGTTAAAACTCATTGCAAAAAAATATGTAATTCAAAAAAAAATGTGGATCACGACCCTAGGGATAGTAGTTAAAGGGATAGTTCACCCAAATTACTAAATTACATATTGGTTTCCTTACCCTGTAAGCAGTATACGGACAAGGTATGACAGGATTCCATGCTTTGGTTTAGTTTCCCTGGCACTGTTTCCAAATGCTAACGTTTTAGCATTTGTGGCACAAATCCCATTCAAGTCATTGGACCGATATTAGCATTTTTCACACATCATGTTCAAATAATCTATAAGTGACTTTGTTGAGCTTCACAATCAATTGTAGATACTTTTGGACTTTTGAAATGCTAATATCAGTTCCATGACTTGAATAGGATTTGTGCCACAATGCTAAAATATTAGCATTTGTAAACATTGACAGGGAAGCTAAACCAATGCATGGATTGCTGTCATACCTTGTCCATAAACTGCTTACAGGGTAAGGAAACCAATATGTCATTTTGTAATTTGGGTGAACTAGTGTCACTAGGGTTGTAGTTGATGAAAAGTTGTACCTTTTAAATTGAGAGATAAATGGTTTTTGTTTCAGTTCCAGCCACCAATTTTACTTCACAAAAAGTAGTATGTGGATTTGCACCATAATAGCCTAATCATTAAGAAAATATAGGTAATTTATTCTAATATCTCAATCTGAAAATGGGAAAAATTACTCACAGGAACCAATCAACAGCAATGATGAGGGTGATGTCATCAGTGGGAAGTCCGACAGAGGTCAGCACAATCACCATGGTGACCAGTCCAGCCTGTGGGATCCCAGCAGCTCCAATACTTGCCGCAGTGGCTGTGATGCTGTTTGATAACAGAAAATTATATGTTTTACACTCTTATCTTGATAAATCATGTAATTTAGTTGTAAACATATCAACACCCTTTGATTCTGTAAACATAAACCTTAGCTTATAAACCTTAGATTCTCATTCTCACCTGATTGTGATGATCTGACCTATGTTCATCTCCATGTTGTTAACCTGGGCTATGAAGATGGCTGCCAGAGCCTCGTATAATGCTGTTCCATCCATGTTGATGGTGGCGCCCACCGGTAACACAAACCGTGTGATGCGCTTATCCACCTTGTTGTTCTCCTCCAGACACTTGAAGGTGATGGGCAGGGTTGCTGAGCTGAGATAAAGATGGAGAGAAACAGATAGTGTTTGAGTTTGATTGGTTGTTGTTGTTGTTTTGTACAAGATCTATGAAATCTATTATACGTATTCGCCATATAAACTTTAAGTACAGTCCATTCGGAAAGTATTCAGACCCCTTGACTTTTTCCACATTTTGTTACTTTACAGCCTTATTCTTAAATGGATTAAATAGTTTTTTCCTCTCATCAATCTACACATAATATCCCATAATGACAAAGTAAAAACAGGCTTTTAGAAATTTTTGCTAATGTATAAACATTTTAAAACTTAAATATTACATTTACATAAGTATTCATACCCTTTACTCAGTACTTTGTTGAAGCACCTTTGGCAGCGATTACAGCCTTGACTCTTCTTGGGTATGACGCTACAAGCTTGGCACACCTGTATTCTTCTCTGCAGATCCTCTCAAGCTCTGTCAGGTTGGATGGGAAGCATCTCTGCACAGCTATTTTCAGGTCTCTCCAGAGATGTTCGATTTGGTTCAAGTTCGGGCTCTGGCTGGGCCACTCAAGGACATTCAGAGACTTGTCCCAAAGCCACTCCTGCGTTGTCTTGGCTGTGTGCTTAGGGTCGTTGTCCTGTTGGAACGTGAACCTTTGCCCCAGTCTGAGGTCCTGAGCGCTCTGGAGCAGGTTTTCATCAAGGATCTTTCTGTACTTTGTTCCATTCATCTTTCCCTCGATTCTGACTAGCCTCCCAGCCACTGCCGCTGAAAAACATCCCCACAGCATGAAGCTGCCACCACCATGCTTCACCGTAGGGATGGTGCCAGGTTTCCTCCAGACGTGACGCTTGGCATTCAGGCCAATGAGTTCAATCTTGGTTTCATCAGACCAGAGAATCTTGTTTCTCATGGTCTGAGAGTCCTTTAGGTGCCTTTTGGCAAACTCCAAGTGGGCTGTCATGTGCCTTTTAATGAGGAGTGGTTTCCGTCTGGCCACACTACCATCAAGGCCTGATTGGTGGAGTGCTGCAGAGATTGCTGTCCTTCTGGAAGGTTCTCCCATCTCTATAGAGGAACTCTGGAGCTCTGTCAGAGTGACCATGGGGTTCATAGTCACCTCCCTGACCAAGGCCCTTCTCCCCCGATTGCACAGTTTGGCCGGGCGGCCAGCTCTAGGAAGAGTCTTGGTGGTTCCAAACTTCTTCCATTTAAGAATGATGTAGGCCACTGTGTTCTTGGGGACCTTCAATGCTGCAGAAATGTTTTGGTACCCTTCCCCAGATCTGTGCCTCAACACAATCCTGTTTCGGAACTCTACGGACAATTCCTTCGACCTCATGGCTTGGTTTTTGCTCTGACATGCACTGTCAACTGTGGGACATTATATAGACAGGTGTGTGCCTTTCCAAATCATGTCCAATCAATTGAATTTACCACAGGTGGACTCAAGTTGTAGAAACATCTCAAGGATGATCAATGAAAACAGGATGCACCTGAGCTCAATTTCGAGTCTCATAGTAAAGGGTCTGAATACTTATGTAAATAAGGTATTTCTAAAAATCTGTTTTCGCTTTGTCATTATGGGGTATTGTGTGTAGATTGATGAGGAAAAACATTTATTTAATCAATTTTAGAATAAGGCTGTAATGTAACAAAATGTGGGAAAAGGGAAGGGGTCTGAATACTTTCCGAATGCACTGTAATTCTACTAATGGGGATGGTGATGCCTCATAGGCAGGGCCAGGAGTTTTTCTTAACCACATAATCTGAGCAGGAACCTCTCCTGGCCCTACTACTTTGATTTGATTTGAGTCAGGGCCAAGCGAGGCGAGGCTACAGTGTCGGTAGTCAGAGTAGGCCAGGGAGAATAGCAGCAGTGTTCGGGGAACCTACCTGGAGGAGGTTCCCAGGGCTGTGATGAGGGCCTCCACCAGCCCCATGATGAAGATGAAGGGGTTCAGCCGTGTGATGGCGAAGTACAGGCCTGGGAGGATGATGAAAGCGTGGATGGACAGGCCTATGATCACCGTGATGGTGTACATGGCCAGCTGACCACCCATCTCAGTGATGTCATCCATCTCCACGATCTTCCCCGAGATGAGGAACAGGATACCGATTGGGGCATACCTGTAGAGCAGAAGGAGGAGAAAGCGTTATGCCAGGGAAGGATATGATCACAGTTCAAATGGCCCTACATTCTCAGGATCTTACTTATTTTTCTGTGTAATAGGCCTGAATAGGAAAATGATTAGTGAAACCATCAGTGCCTTCTGAGACTGCAAGCACGGGCTATGAAATTGCCTTTATTCATAAGCAAAACTTGATTTATATCTGTCAAATATCTGACTGGGAATATTTAGATTTAATTGGCACAGTGAACATGTCACTGGTTTTGATTGCAAAGCCTTGTCATTCAGCTGTGGAACCACTTAGCATCAGGAAGTTATGTCCTGAGGCGGTTCTGTGTTGGCCAATTATTAGGTTGTGCTCATGCAATTATCTCAGTAGACCTAAATACCTATATCAGATCTCACCTGTATAGAGTTACCAGATAATTCATAGCAATGCCTCAAGCAAGAGGCTAAATGAAGCCATTTGATTGAATTGAGAAGGAGAGATAAACATAGTACTTCCCCAACTCTGCAGGGAATCCATAGACTTAGCTTTCCAAAGCATAGATGGAAAGAATTTTCTGTAACAGATGCATGGGGTTCACATACATACTCACCTAATGAAGATGGCGATTATTGGACCATCATCATCATCACACACACACAAACACACACATCATCTTTATAAACACCCACACACAAACACACACCAAATACTCACCACATGATAATGGCGACCAGCCTCATGATGGCCTCATTGAGACTGTCGAAGAACTCCCTGAGGGGCTGGCCCTGCTCCTTCATGTTGCCGATGATGAGGCCGAAGCACATGGAGAAGACCACCAGCCCTAGGGCGTTGACCCCGTTCACCATGCCCGGGATGGGGATCACCTCCTCCCTGGTTATCTGCTCGGTCAGGTTGGTCAGGTTGAAGACGGAGTCGTTCACTGTCATCGTCACATGAACGATTCGCTTCCCGTATTTGGTTTTGAACTGGAGGGAAAGAGCCGGTTACGTAAGTGATGGGTTAACATTGTCTTGTTAAAGTGATGATGGCATGACATCTCCTTTAGTGAAAATGGTACTGAAATATTTGTAATGTTTACTTTATAATCATTCAGCCATCTATTCAGTGGAGCTCATAAAAAGCCAAGCTGATAGATAAGGTATCGAGGGATTGTAGTCAGACGTGTGCCATTTCGATAGACTAGAGAACAAAAAGTCTAACGGCGCCTGCTCCACTCATATCAACCTCATGAATTAAACAATAGCCCTCTGTATGGCTGGAGTAGTATTCTGTAAGGTCCAGCTGGCTCACTGACGACCCTGTCTGGACCACAAAGCGTTTAGCCCCCCGTAGACATGGTCTTCCATTACTTATATCGTCCTGCCCCAGCGGCCTCTATATCTCAGTTTCCTGCCCCACCATGCTACTAAGAAGTAAAGAAGGAAGTTGGTCCTTTTTTCTCTTCCGATGGTGATAATGTTTTATTTACACATGGCAGCAGAAGTAATATTTTGTCATTTGTCCCTAGTGGTCAGGATATTTCTTCCAGTGTAAGTCAAAGTCCCACCTCAGTCCTGGGTTTCTACGTCTCTTAGGGTGATGATTTATCACTGCTCAGAAATGCCAAAACCAGCAAGTTTCCTCTGGAAATTTCAATAATTTATCCACGAGCACTACTTATCCTTCAATACCATCATTATTTCAATACAAGCATTTCCTTTGTCAGAATCTATACGTCAGACCATTTTTCCTATCTGCTTATTGAATGTTTAATTTAGTAATAAAGTCATTAGATGCTTTACCTGCTGTGTGCAGGCCTGGATCATGTTTGGTGGAAACATGTTTCTGAAATAAAAGAGCATGATCATCACAATCAATGAACACTCCAATATTGAGGCAGGAGTACAATGGCAGAAAACAATGCATCTTTCCACCACTAAACCCCTGACCCTCCTCCTACAGTAGCATGCAGCTACCTGATAAGATCCAGGAAGGCGTCGGCAGGGCTGATGTCCTCTATCTTCGACTGTTTCATGAACTCATCCCTCGATCCTTTCCCAGGGTGGATGATGAGCACCACGATGATGCCTATGATGACAGCGATAATGGTGGTGCTCATGTAATACACCAAAGCTCGCATACCCATCTTTCCTGAAGCCTTACTGTCCAGCGCTGCCATGCCTGGTTGGGAGAGACAGGGGAGATGTTGTTTAGAAGAACAGTATTATCCCATTGTGCAACATTTCTAACATTTCTTAAAAGAAGTGGCATGAAAACACTTGAAATAGCAATAGCTTGTAGCCATATTAGCCTGCGTTCTGGCTAGCTCCTGAAGCTATGCTGATGTGTTGGATGTTGTTGTAGCCTGAAGGCCAGAAGGGTGAGTCCTTGCTCTGGTCAAGGACAACCCAATGCCTGAAGGCAGAGACAGGAACATTGTGAGAACTGAGGGGCCACAGACGTGTAGAAAAGTGTCTAAGCTGTAACACAGACAAGTGTTGGCCATTATTGGAATAGCAGGGTTCTCAGATATCTCATCATCAGACAATGGGAGAAGATGAGGTTGGACTCAGTGAACTGGGACTATCAGGTGTAAAAGCAAGAGACTAGTAGATGACCTCAGTGTGAACCAGTCTACTGCCCTGGCAGGCAGTCACTCTCCTTCCCAGAGATTATGGAGCCCTATTATGGAGCCCTTTCAAGGAGCGGTACACTAATCCAGATGCTTATAAGAAATCCTGCTATGCCCTCAGACAAACCGTCAAACAGGCAAAGCGTCAATATAGGACTAAGATTGAATCCTACTACACCGGCTCTGACGCTCGTCGGATGTGGCAGGGCTTGCAAACTATTACAGACTACAAAGGGAAACCCAGCCGCGAGCTGCCCAGTAACGCGAGCCTACCAATTGGTAGAGCATGGCGCTTGTAACGCCAGGGTAGTGGGTTCGATCCCCGGGACCACCCATACGTAAAAATGTATGCACACATGACTGTAAGTCGCTTTGGATAAAAGCGTCTGCTAAATGGCATATTATTATTATATTATTATTATAAATGCCTTTTACGCTCGCTTTGAGGCAAGCAACACTGAAGCATGCATGAGAGCACCAGCTGTTCCGGACGACTGTGTGATCACGCTCGCCGTAGCCGATGTGAGCAAGACCTTTAAACAGGTCAACATTCACAAGGCCGCAGGGCCAGACGGATTACCAGCAAGTATCTTCACTGACATTTTCAACCTCTCCCTGACCGAGTCTGTAATACCTACATGTTTCAAGCAGACAACCATAGTTCCTGTGCCCAAGAAAGCGAAGGTAACCTGCCTAAATAACTACCATCCTGTAGCACTCACGTCGGTAGCCATGAAGTGCTTTGAAAGGCTGGTCATGGCTCACATTAACACCATCATCCCGGAAATCCTAGACCCACTCCAATTCGCATACCGCCCGACAGATCCACAGATGACGCTATCTCAATCGCACTCCACACTGCCCTTTCCCACCTGGACAAAAGGAACACCTATGTGAGAATGCTGTTCATTGACTACAGCTCAGCATTCAACATCATAGTGCCCACAAAGCTCATCACTAAGCTAAGGACCCTGGGACTAAACACCTCCCTCTGCAACTGGATCCTGGACTTTCTGACTGGCCGCCCCCAGGTGGTAAGGATAGGCAACAACACATCTGCCACGCTGATCCTCAACACGGGGGCCCCTCCTGTACTCCCTGTTCACCCACGACTGTGTGGCCAAGCACGACTCCAACACCATCATTAAGTTTGCTGACGACATAACAGTGGTAGGCCTGATCACCGACAACGATGAGACAGCATATAGGGAGGAGGTCAGAGACCTGGCAGTGTGGTGCCAGGACAACAACCTCCCTCAATGTGAACAAGACAAAGGAGCTGATTGTGGACTACAGGAAAAGGAGGGCCGAACACACCCCCATTCACATTGACGGGGCTGTAGTGGAGCGGGTCAAGTGTTTCAAGTTCCTTGGTGTCCACATCACCAACAAACTATCATGGTCCAAACACACCAAGAAAGTCATGAAGAGGGCATGACAACGCCTTTTGCCGCCTCAGGAGCATGAAAAGTGGTCCTCTGTAGCTCAGCTGGTAGAGCACGGCGCTTGTAACGCCAAGGTAGTGGGTTCGATCCCCGGGACCACCCATACACAAAAATGTATGCACGCATGACTGTAAGTCGCTTTGGATAAAAGCGTCTGCTAAATGGCATATTATATTATTATTATTATAAAAGATTTGGCATGGGTCCCCAGATCCTCAAAAAGTTATACAGTTGCACCATCGAGAGCATCCTGACCGGTTGCATCACCACCTGGTATGGCAACTGCTCGGCATCCGACCGTAAGGCGCTACAGAGGGTAGTGCGTACAGCCCAGTACATCACTGGGGCCAAACTTCCTGCCATCCTGGACCTATATACTAGGCAGTGTCAGAGAAAGGCCCAAAAAATTGTCAAAGACTCCAGTCACCCAAGTCATAGACTGTTTTCTCTGGAGCATCAAGTCTAGGTCCAAAAGGCTACTTAACAGCTTCTACCCCCAAGCCATAAGACTGCTGAACAATTAATCAAATGGCCACCTGGACTATTTGCATTGACACCCCACCCATCCCCCTCCATTTGTTTTTACACTGCTGCTACTCGCTGTTTATTATCTATGCATAGTCACTTTACCCATACCTAGATGTACAAATTACCTCGACTAACCTGTACCCCCGCACATTGACTCGGTACTGGTACCCCCTGTATATAGCCTCATTATTGTTATTTTATTGTGTTACATTTATTTTATTTTATTAAATGTTTTACTTTAGTTTATTTAGTAAATATTTTCTTTACTCTATTTTCTTAAAACTGCATTGTTGGTTAAGGGCTTGTAAGTAAGCATTTCACGGTAAGGTTGCATTTCACCTGTTGTATTCGGCGCATGTGAATTTTTTTGTTGTTGATTTGATTTCATATTTATAATCTCTCATGATTGTAGACCAGATATTAGCTGACCTGCTGGAGGATGCAGCCTAATACAAAGAGTCAACGGGTATGCAGATTAATGGGCTGCCTGACAGTCATCTGACAGAAGTCCTAGTGCGATTGCAAACCAGGCTAGTAGCAAAACATACAGGTGGGTGAAATATTGATGTTCTCCATCTGAAATTAGATAATGATTATGGTTAGCTTCTGCTAACTGACATCTCTCTCAATCTTACAAAAAGGTCAAGGGGAAGACAGACGGACAACGAGCCATTATAGAGAAAGACCTCAACCTAACAAAGTGTTGCAATAAAGTTACATTTGGATTTTCCAAGGTGTCAGGGGCCGTTCTGGTTTGATATCCCCATTCAGTGGGCTGATGGAGTAAGCATTTTGTTTGCGTAAGCGAGATGTATGTGCTCTTTTAATCCTGTTGGGGGCACTGCCATTAGACAAAACCCTTTCACCCTCTTTCAGCTTCCACCCTCCTTCATCACGCCTCCCTCTCCCACAATCACCCCTGCTCCACTGTGCCTCTGCCGCTCTCTCTGTCTGTCTCTCTCTCTCTCTCTCTCTCTCGCTCTCTCACTCACTCTCTCTTCCCTCCATCCTCTCTCTCAGAGTCTGGGAAACTTGTCCACTTGCCATGCGCCCATAACAACATTGCATCTCCACATCGCCATGGAAACTGCAAACAAGCCTGTGTGACCACTTTCACAGGACTAAAGAAATGACTCACGTGGGTTATTTTCAAGGGTTACTACAAAGAGGGAGTATTAAACAAAACTGTATCCCACACATACTTCTCATTTTCTGCCTTTCTCTCCATAGTTCTACTTCTCCAAGGCAAAAAAAAAAAAATGTGTTTTTAGGGTGTTTCAAGTGAGATCAAATAAAATTATGCTTAATAAACATTCACAAATTAGGTTAGTGTAACCTCTACGGGATCGGTGTCCCGTATACGGGACGGTTGAGCAAACGTGATTAGCATGACTGTTGTAACTAACAGCAAACCTTCCAGGACATAGACATGTCTTATATGGGCAGAAAGCTTAAATTATTGTTAATCTAACTGCACTGTCCAATTTACAGTAGCTATTACAGTGAAAAAATACCATGCTATTGTTTGAGGAGAGTGCACAACAACAAAAAACGTATTACGGAAACTGGTTTGATACATTCACCTCTGAAGGTAAATAATGTACTTACATTCAGTAATCTTGCTCTGATTTGTCATCCTAAGGGTCCCAGAGATAAAATGTGGCATAGTTTTGTTTGATTCAATCCATTTTTATATTCAAATGTAGGAACTGGGTTCTACAGTTTGAAGCCCTGCTGTCTCTGGCTCCACACCCACCTCACCCGGCCATCTAGATGTGTATAAGCTAATGATCCATCATGTATGACATTCCTGGGAGTGTGTGAACTTATATTTTGTATTACCATATCATTTTTGTATGTTCTCTATAGTTATGTACTTGAAAATGTATCAATTGACCAATTCGGCACATTTGGGCAGACTTGATACAAAATAGTCCAGTATTGCAACGCTTCACTGGATCAATCTGAAACTTTGCACACACACTGCTGCAATCTATTGGCCAAAATCTAAATTGCGCCTAAACTGCAATATTATATTGTGGCCTTTCTCTTGCATTTCAAAGATGATGGAACAAAAAACAAATAGAAAACGCATGTTTACCAGATCTAATGTGTTATATTCTCCTACATTAATTTCACATTTCCACAAACTTCAAAGTGTTTCCTTTCAAATGGTATCAAGAATATGCATATCCTTGCTTCAGATCCTGAGCTACAGGCAGTTAGATTTGGGTATGTCATTTTAGGCGAAAATTGAAAAAAAAAGGGTCAGATCCTTAAGAGTTTAAAAAGAGGTTAGTTTAAAAAGAAAATGAGATACAGTACAGATCAGCTCAGTCTTTGAGAAATGTCTAGAGCTTGCTGCTCCCGGTCTAGTTTCAAGATCAGAGTAAATCCCTCAGTGTGAGCATAGTGATGTCATGCATACTGCACATCATACCAAGCTGGGTGGGTCATATGGATCCTAACCTTGCAGAGGACTCAGGGAGATAATAGATGAAATAGTTACATGTCCGCTTGTGTACCTGGGCAGTGGGCCTCTTTTCTGGGCCATAACCCCTTACCCCACCACCCTCCAAACCACTTACGGTATTGTGGTGCTGGGTGGTCATGGAATTCCACGAAACAATACAGCTATAAAGGAAGAGGCAGAGGGGCACTTTGTGTGCTTTTATCCGTGTGAAGCGAAGCAGGAGGAAGAGGTGCAAGGGGGTACCATCCCAAAGCTACCCTCTCAGACCCACAGGGAGTGGGCTTTCTTCTGAAAGCTACCCCATCCCTCCGTCTCTCCTCCCTCATTTTAATAGCAAAGAAGCACAATGAAGTGACTGTCCCCATGCCAGAAACTAGAGACCAAAGGGAATCTGGAGAAAAATGGTGGCAAGAAAAAAGTATGAAAAAAAGACAAGAAAAACAAATGTATGCACTCACTAACTGTAAGTCACTCTGGATAAGAGCGTCTGCTAAATGACTAAAATGTAAAATGTAAATGTAAGACATTTCACATGGATCAAGCACAAGTTACAGTACCTGTAAAGTTGTGCCTCAAGCTCCTTTGGCATTCCCCCTTTGTCATTGGGTATTCACACCTGTCTTTCAAACACCACTAAATCTAACCTTCCTCTTTATCATATGTCTTTATTATATCTCAATTTGCTTCTGGCGGTGGGCATCAGTAAAGTGACTTGGTGTACCTGTGATGAGACTGGACACCAGCAGGGGAAGCACCAGCATCTGCAGCATCCTCATCAGCAGCTCTCCAGGGAAAGAGAAGTACTTCACCTCTCGGTAGGTCATTTTATAGGGACGCAGTGCAAAGCCAAGGATTATACCTGAAGAATAAGAAGGGATGATTAGTGTACTTGAAACATGAACATGCAACTGCATATAAAGCAAATGACAATGAGAGGGTCTGTGTCTCGCAGTCACATCTAGAATGAGGTTTGTAGGTGAGTCCTTCCTGTGGGATTGGGATTACAATAAGAGAGCATGGATTTCAAAGTGTGTGTGTGTTTGCGTGAGTATGTTGGCCCATTTCTGTGTACTGTGTATGTAGACCTATGTACACTCCCCTACGTATTTATTTGGACAGTGAAGCTAAAACTTTTAATTTGGCTCTATACTCCAGCATTTCTACATTAATGTTGATGCTACCGTGATTACGGATAATCATGAATGAACCGTGAATAATGATGAGTGAGAAAGTTATAGATGCACAAAGATCATGCGCCCAAAACATGGGGCATTTCTGGGGGGTATGAGCTTTGTTCCTTTGTAACTTTCTCACTCATCATAATTCACTATTCATTCATGATTATCCATAATCGTGGTAGTATCCACATTGATGTAGAAGTGTTTAGAAACATCTTCTATTCTTATTTAAAATAAAAAATGACTCCAAAATGACACAATACATTATTCATCATTCAGTTCCTATTGGGCAAACATATATAATCCGAAACACAAACAAAACAAACTGCAAATGCATCCAACAAGTGTGTAGAGCCACAAGCTTGTTGTAGTAATTACGTGCTACTTTAATACACTATAAGTGCATTTATCCAAATACTTATGGAAAAAAAACGAACAAAAGCTGACATTCAGTACGGTCGCCTCATATGAAACATTTGATCTCAAATCCAAAATGGTGGAGTATAGAGCCAAATGTAAAAATGTTAGCTTCACTGTCTAAATAAATAGGGAGGGGAGTGTGTGTGAGTGTACTGGGGTGAGGCATTGATGGGGTGTGTGTTCACTCACCTACAACGACGGCCGCTACAGTAAAGAGCACAAAGGCGTTCTTCTTGAGGAAGGCCTGGACATCTTCCTTAGAGATGTCCTCCACTTTCCTCTTGGCCTTCATGGTCCTTATGTGGATGCCCTCCCGGAGCCGCTGCATCCTAGTGTGGGAATCCGAAGCCGGGGGGGTGTCCCCATTACTTTTGGTCATGACTGCAGACAGGACTTGGGGTGATTCACACACCTTTTAGACACCCAGAGAACCTGAACCAATGGGTCTGACCAGCCCTTGCTCCAGTGATAGCTACTGGAGAAGAGATTAAATGACACAGGACAAGACACATGCAGTTGAAATGACACATGCAGATGTTCACATTGACATTGCAATGCAATTGATAAGATAAGAGAAAGAAGAATAGCTTATTTTTCTTATAGCAAATCCTTACCATATGGTGTTTAGTCAAAATAACAAACAATGTACATTAATGGATCTTTTCATGATAAAATAGTCACACAGTCTTGAGAAGAGAGCATACTATTTTAGTCTAAGACAAAAGCCAGCATTTTTCACCCATGATGAATCCATCCATGACAAGCATCAAAGCCCCTGAACACAGGAAGCATGGAACCCTGCAGGTGCAGATCTGCATCCCTAATACACCCTGGCAACTCATCAGTCTATCCTGGAGAATATTTATTCATAAAAACACTTGATTAGAAAAAACGTATAATGGAATAACAAAAACAATCAACTGCGCTTTCTTTAAAAAAACACATTACCCTTAGAGGTGATTTGTTCCAGCCCTCATGCATTAAAGAGATGCACTGCATACTCAACCAAAAGCACCTTACACAATACAACTATGTACCTGTCATTGGAAAGGCATACTTTTTCAATCAATTGTTTGGTTGAAAATGCCAGTTGGCAACACTCTGAACAAACTGCACATTTTGCTACAAAGATTTTGTTTGCATTTTAATGAATGTAAAAGATGTGGACATGAAAATCTGAACAAACGGATGAGACCTTTCATGCATGGCCACATCAACAGTATGGACCCCTGGCATACAGCTAAAACATCACAAGAGCCACACAGACCTGCTAATTCCCTTGGACAACAACACCAACAACTCTCTCCTCCTGATTCCTCAAAAGTAGCAAAGCAAAACACTGACCTTTCACCAGTGTAGATATTCCCTTATTAGACAAACTCCTCTTCCTGATGGGTTATCCTCAGCCTGATGACAGGTCAGGCAGGCAGAGAGCAACAGTGGTAGAGGGAGAGGAGAGATAGAGACTGGGAGATGGAGTAAGATAGACATGCACATAGAGAATGGGAGGTGTACATATGTTCTCTGAAGACAACTGTGGCAATCCCTCATACTCCCATTCTCTGAAGAGGGAGGAGACTTTCAAACTCAGAAAGAGAGAGAGATGGGAAGATAGAGGGAGGTAGAGGCAGTGGGAGGAGATTTTCTTTTTAAAATTACTTTTACACTGATTCAGTTGACACACAATATCTCTTTACAATTTGGGGGATGTTATTTCCCTCATTCATTCCAATGGAAGAGTGCCCTGGGTGATGCAGAAATGAGTACGAGTAGACAGTAGGATATGCTGTATGCAACATGAAACCCAATAGGGTTCTACCTGGAACCAAAAATAGTTATCCTATGGGGACAGCCAAATTACCCTTTTGGAACCCTTTTTTTCTCCTCTCCTCCCAGCTCTCTTCCTTTCTTCCCCCCTCCCCATCCTCTCCTCTATCCTCTTCCCCTCTCTGTCGGGCTATTCATCCCTCACTGGAAGGCTTCAGAAACAGATAAAGCCTGTGGACCCGTAGACAAGATCTGCTCGAGGTGTTAGGGCTCTCTTCCTCTGCTTCAGTGTAACCTCTCCCACAGTCCTGACAAATAGGAGCATTCATCACCAGCAGCAGTGGTTGCTGGCCAGGGAAGCCCTGGACTGGACTGTCAGTGCCTAGTGCCATAGGATCAGCATTCATTTCAAGATACTGTACTTTGAAGTATTGAAGTATCATTCGGAGTGTTTCCCAAAAAGAAGAGTGATGTGCGACAGCAGTGCACCATTTCAAATGTGCAGTAAATCTCTATGTGAAATATTGAGATCAATAGTAAAATCGCCTCTACAACACTCACCTGTGCAACTAGAGGCAGAAAAACTCTAGATCACCTTTACTCCACACACAGAGACGCATACAAAGCTCTCCCTCGCCCTCTATTTGGAAAATCTGACCATAACTCTATCCTCCTGATTCTGGGTTACAAGCAAAAACTCAAACAGGAAGTACCAGTGACACGCTCAGTACGGAGCTGGTCCGATGAAGAGGATGCTAAGCTACAGGACGGTTTTGCTAGCACAGACTGGAATATGTTCCGGGATTCATCCGATGGCGTTGCAGAGTTTACCACATCAGTCACTGGCTTCATTAATTTACTGCAGGAGGCTAAATCAGGGTCACAGAGTGTTTCTTGGTAGTCTTAAGCAAATTTACTTTGAAACAAAAGTATACACCTCACACACATGGTTATGGGCTTACAAAAAGAAGACACCTGTACCATGTCAGATATAGAGTTGAAATGTAACACTTTATATACATCACAGAAGACTGAAATATAACCAAACTTTTTCACATAAATACACCGGATTTTCTGCGTTTTTTAAATTTAAATTATGTTTATTAATTAAGAAATTATGAAAAATATTAATAACATTCCACCCATGAGGCCACTAGAGGGCCAGATGGATTACCAGGACGTGTACTCAGAGCATGTGCTGACCAGCTGGCAAGTGTCTTCACTGACATTTTCAACCTCTCCCTGACCCAGTCTGTAATACCTACATGTTTTAAGCAGACCACCATAGTCCCTGTGCCCAAAAACGCCAAGGTAACCTATCTAAATTACTATCGCCCCGTAGCACTCACATCTGTAACCATGAAATGCTTTGAAAGGCTGGTCAGGCTCACATCAACACCATCATCCCAGACACCCTGGAACCACAATTCACATACCGCCCCAACAGATCCACAGATGACACAATCTCTATTGCACTCCACACTGCCCTTTCCCACTTGGACAAAAGGAACACCTACATGAGAATGCTATTCATTGACTACAGCTCAGCATTCAACACCATAGTGCCATCGAAGCTCATCACTAAGCTAAGGTCCCTGGGACTAAACACCTCCCTCTGCTACTGGATCCTGGACTTCCTGACGGCCGCCCCCAGGTGGTGAGGGTAGGCAACAACACATCCGACACGCTGATTCTCAAAACGGGGGCCCCTCAGGGGTGCGTGATTAGTCCCTTCCTGTACTCCCTGTTCACCCACGACTGCATGGCCGTCAGAGTATGTGAACGGGGCGGAGCTGGAGTGGAGCGAGGAGTGGAGCGTGCCCAAAGTTTCCCAAAGGCCTTCTCCCCTGTGTCACACCCTGGCTCTGGGACTCTATATGTTGAGCCAGGGTGTGTTCATTCTATGTGTTCTATTTCTATGTTGGGGGTTCTCGGTTGTGTATTTCTATGTTGGCCTGAGTGACTCCCAATCAGAGGCAACGAGTGTCAGCTGTTGGCTGGTTGTCTCTGATTGGGAGCCATATTTATACTGTCTGTTTTCCTTTTGTGTTTGTGGGTTCTTGTTCCGTGTTCGGTCATTGTCACCGTGGACTTCACGAGTCGTTTATTGTTTTTGTTCGTGCTTTAATATAATAAAGTAACATGTTCATTCATCACGCTGCGCATTGGTCTACTTCTCTCCCTGACGATCGTGACAGAAGAACCCACCATAAAAGGACCAAGCAGCGTGTCCAGGAGCAGGCAGACTGGACATGGGAGGAAGCGCCGGGTAAGGAGATGGAGAGGTTGGCGATGGCCCAGGTGGGCAAATCGTGGTCCTGGGAGGACATGCTCGGGGGCAAGGGACCTTGGGCTAGGATTAAGGCCCTGGCGAGAGAGGAGCAGCGGCGTCAGCAGTGCCATCGTCGGACGGACGAGAGGCAACCCAAAAAAAATTTTAGGGGGGGGGCACACGGCATGGGCGGCTGGGCAGCAGGAGGCTAACCCGGTGGCCAGAAGGCAGGTTGGCGGAGCCTGGATGGAGAGCGGAACCAACTTCCCGTACTCAGGCATGGCAGCATGGGACGGGGCAGGTTCCGCGGTATGCGGAGCGGCGTACTGTGCCACGAGTGGTCCGGCATAGTCCTGTACGTCCTGTGCGAGCACCCCGCACGTGTCGTGCGAAGGGGGGTATGCAGCCAGGACGGAGTGTGCCGGCTCAACGCTCGTGGTCTCCAATGCCTCTCCGCGGTCCCGGATATCCTGCTCCAGTGTCACGTGCTGTTATGCCAGTACGGTTACACAGCCCTGTACGTCCTGTGCGGATGTCTCACACAGAGTGTGTGAGGGTAGGCATTCAGCCGGGACGGGTTGTGGCCGCTCTTCACTCCAGGTCTCCTATCCGTCTCCACAGCCCGGTTCGGCCTGTCCCTGCTCCACGCACCAAGCCTACGGTGTGCGTCGCCAGCCCAGTCCGGCCTTTCCCTGCTCCACGCACCAAGCCTACGGTGTGCGTCGCCAGCCCAGCCCGGCCTTTCCCTGCTCCACGCACCAAGCCTACGGGGTGCGTCGCTAGCCCAGCCCGGCCTGTCCCTGCTCCACGCACCAAGTCTACGGTGCGCGTCACCAGCCCGGCCCGGCCTGTTCCTGCCACTCGCACCAAGCCAGGGGTGCGAGTCGTCAGCCTGGTCCAGCCCGTTCCTGCTCCACGCACCAAGCCAGGGGTGCGAGTCGTCAGTCCGGTGAGGCCCGTTCCGGCTCCACGCACCAAGCCAGGGGTGCGTATCGTCAGCCCGGTCCGGCCCGTTGCTGCTCCACGCACCAAGCCAGGGGTGCGCATCGTCAGCCAGGTCCGGTCCTTTCCTGCCTCACGCACCAAGCCAGGGGTGCGCGTCGTCGGTCCGGCACAACCCGTGCCTGGGTCACCGGTGCCTAACCAGGTACCGGTCAATGGCTCCACTACGGAGTTGAAGCTAACCGCTCCTGCTACGTCCAGTCCAGCTCCAGCCAGCGGGGCCAGACCGGACCAGGGGCGCTATGGGGGGTTTGTTGGAGGGTGGTGGGCAAGCCCGGAGCCAGAACCGC